ACACTAACTCAGCTTAGAGGGAACACAGCCCCCCAACCCCCCCCAACCCGTCCTTGGGAGCCTCCCCGTCTTTCGTCAGAGCCTCCCTCCCTCCCTCCCTCCCTCCGGCCCGACAGCACAGTACCTGCCATGTTCTTCTGCAGCGCTGAATTCTCCGCCTGCAGCCTCAGCAGCTCCCCGTCCACGGGGCTGGTGGGGGCTCCTCCTCCGTCTGTGGCCGCGGCCTCCCCTTCCCGCAGGCGTTTGTTCTCCGTCTCCAGCTGCTCGATCTGGGAGCACAGCTGGGTGACAGAGACCAGAGGAGTTAGTCTTCCGCGTTAGCTCCCCTCCCGGAAAGAAAAGAACGGGGGACCTGTCTGCCTGAAAATGGGGGCGCAGCAGCCTTCATTCTAGGAGCGAGGTCACTCCCCCCCACTCTTGGAAGTCTCTTCTCTTCCAGCAGGTCTTTAGAGAGGTGCAAACAGGGGAGGGAACTGGTAACTTCATGCTTGTAGCTGTTCCACGCATATGATCCCACATACCCTATGGCAGGGGTGGCCAAACTATGGCTCGGGAGCCACATGCGGCTCTTTCACACATATTGTGCGGCTCCCGGCAGGGCAGCTGGGGAAGCAAAGGGGAGGCATACTTTTTCTCCCTCCCATCTTCTTTCTTTCTTTCTTTCTCTCTTTCTTTCTTTCTTTCTCTTTCTCTCTCTTTCTTTCTTTCTTTCTCTTTCTCTCTCTCTTTCACCCTCCCTCCTTCCCCCATCTATTTGCTTGCTTTGTTTCTCTCTCTCTGTCTGTCTTTCCACCTCTTTCATTCTTTCCACCTTTATTTTCCTCTCTCTCTTAGACAAATAAATATTATCAGCAAACAAATATAACTGGACGAATAAATACTATTACAAATATCTGTTTTTACCCCCTTTTGTTTTTATTTTCGGCAGTCTCATTTGGTGTTAATAAAAAGCAAATCTGCCTATTCTAGAAATAAAAACGTGTGTGTGATATTTGTTCATGTCTTGCGGCTCTCAAAACGTCTGATGTTTATTCCATGTGGCTCTTACGTTGAGCAAGTTTGGCCACCCCCTGCCCTGTGGATTAACCAGGCTAGCCCGATCTCATCAGCTCCCAGAAGCTAAGGAGGGTCGGCTCTGGTCAGTATAGGATCATAGACTTGGAAGGGACCTCCAGGGTCATCTAGTCCAACCCCCTGCACAATGCAGGAAACTCACAAATACCTCCCCCCCCACACACACACCCAGCGACCCCTGTTCCATTCCCAGAAGATGGACCGAAAAACCTCCAGGATCTCCAGCCAAACCGGCCTGGAGAAAAATTGCTTCCTGACCCCAAAGTGACGATCAGCATTTCCCTGGGTGCATAAGAAAGGGCCGTGAGAACTAAGCGCTGATGCATGTCCGCTAGGCCTCTGGCTATACTAGCTGCCATGGGGGGGGGGGCGCTCTGGAATTCTGACTTTTGTTTCTGCTGTG